TGTATGTTACTTAAGCTTATTAAAAGTCACTTCTGTAAAGTTTCTTATTCTGGCAGTAGCTATATCATTTAACTTATCAAGGAGCTTCCCAAACATCTTCTTTTGTGATATTTGCATGCTTTTGATGTCATTCTTCATTATTATTTTATTAGAAGTTTTATTATTTCCATCCAATTTTTACTTATTCAGAAGCATAGTGATGTAATTTTTATATAAGTGAGCCAGGGTTCGTGCACATTTTGTTGTTTCTTGTTTTATCTCCAATATTCTGTCATGTCGGATTTTGTTGTACTCATAGAGTTTTAAAATCTGGTATATTATAGTGGCTATAATAACAAAACTGCATGTTTCCTTACAGAGTATTTAATAATGACAGAGCAAGATCACGGTTTGATCTTAAGTTTTACCTTATGTGATTTTGGTTCATTTTGTATATGGCAATATTTTTCTGTGCACATATTATATTTAATCCTTATTTTGACAACAACTTACCCACGCAGAATTCACCTGTTATTTTTGACTACTCTTTAACTGCCCATTGCTATTTTTCTAGCAGCCTGTACTCAATAACAGCCAACCTCTCACAGTGTGAACACACCCTAAAAGCAGCACTCTCATTAATGATCACAGTAATCCTGAGCAGCAAATGGAGCTTTAGGTGTCAATTCCAAGAAAAAATACTATCTGCAATAATTTGTGTAATGTACAGATAATAAGAGATTAGTGCATCTGTTCCGAAGCGACTGACCTTCAAACCATTAGCTCTGCATGCTTCAAGCACCATGGTGTAATCCTGCTATGAAAGGCAAGTTTGTTTTACTTTTGTATTTTCTGATCTTCATCCATGAGCTAATCTGTGTTGAAATCCCTGGAAAGATGTAGTACTGCTTGGCTTGAGTTATTCTACACTAAGATAGAGATAAAAATTACTGTAAAAAGCAAGTTTCTGTTTATCCAATAGTAAGCCTACAAACGTGAAAATAAGTTTTGTTTATTATATTTTGATTTTGTGCCATCTTTCTATATGCTATCTGCAAGTTAATTCAGATTTTGAAATCTGTGGTTCAGACTGGCTGATTGAATGCTGTAGATTTTCATGGGTTTTTATATGATGTGGATTTGAAAGTTTCCCTTCATTCCCTTCATACCCTTCATACCTTTCCTTCCCTTCGTGTGTCATGTTGGAAACAGCCTTTTATTTTTATCTGTATAACTAAATTTTAGTAATATATCGTGTCATTATAGTTAATTTTTGAGCACCTAGGTGCCAGCAGAAATGTAATGAATGAATGATGGAAACTGATATTTAAACTTGATTTTTTTTTTAACCTTTCTGCTATGTCTTTCTCAATTTTCTTCGGTGCCAAGGATCATATGAAATTTTTGGTTTCCATGTTATTTTTAAATGGTTGTAATCTCTTCATCTGTGATAGGTTTGTCAGTGCTCTCTATATCAAAACAGCAAGAAAATTTAATGCTAAATCTTAGCTTCTGCTTTTGGATAATATAGAAAGAGAAAAATGGCCTGTTAGATAGTTCGGAAGTATTGGAATTAGCTTCATATTGTACTGTAACGTCTGTTATTAGCATACATGGAACAACATTTGCACATATTGTATTATTTCAAGAATAGTGCATTCAATCATTGAACTTACTAGCCTGCATGCATCATTGTGTTAAAAATTGTGATTCAAGTAACCCTGTGTTTTAGTTGGCGTAGAAGTTTGGAAGTGCTTTCACTTCAGAAGTAACTAGAAATTTGGGAGGGAGTTGGTTTTTTTCTATAGAGATAGGCAGTGTTAGCACTGTTTCATTTTCTTTTTCCATCTCATCCTGCCTTATGTTTGAAAGGGCTTTAAAATTTGGAAAACGTTTGCCGTATGCTTAAATATATTGACTGTAATTCAGATGCTCTCAAATATTCGTTTATAACATATTGCTAATTCTCCCTTGTGCTTGTATTTTTAATAGCTTTTTATCGGGTTCGTAACAGATTAATTATATGAGAAATCTATTCTCACTCAAGCAAACAGTTGCAATAAAGAAATCTTGCTTTGTAATGAAAGTTAGCATAATTTACTGGGGAAAACACAGCACAACTCTTCCTGTATCAGCACCCTTTCTGCCTGGTGTCTGTTGACCGTTGTCTCACCTCCTTTGCCCTTGAGAAACCCTGGTTTGCAACCCAGAAATGAGAGGTGAGAAAAAGGAGAAACGGGCATCCATACAGACCTGTCAAAATAACCTGGGTTCACTGGTGATGACAAAAGGCAAGGTGTTACAGAAAATCCTGCTCTCTCCCATCTCTCCCTGCCTTGCACAATAGTCAAAGCAATCCTGCTGCTGTGGCACATTTTTGTGCTGGTGTCTGTCTGTGGTGCATTTGAACCTCTATGTCTTGTCAGTAGAATTTTCCTCAGTACCTATTTGATAATGGACATAAACCAGCAATGTTGGATGCAAACTTCATCATTTCATAGCAGAGTTATTCCAGAGCATTCATTTGGGCAGTTTGGCTGAACGGTCTGTCTCTAAACTGAATCTCCGTGTACAGTTGTCCACTTTCGACAGTATAAACACAGAGGGAACAATTATATCTTACAGTTATGCGGTGTTTATCTAGCACAGATCCGCTATGCAAGCCCGTAGGTATTTTTTGCGGTCTGACTGCTGTAACTGATGCAAACCAGTTTGAACGCAGTGCCACAAACAACTGTTTTAAAATGGAAACATTCAGCGACTGTCTCTCTCACTACTTACCTGTCTTAACTGCTACTATAGATAAAAAGCTGATTGAAAAGAGTTTTTAAGCCTCTCTTCTGGCAGCTGTTACCTGGGCTGTCCTCAGATGTGAGGGGGTGGGTCCTTATGGCATCACGACACAAAACTGCATTCAGAAGTAATGCAAAAGAAATTCAAAAGCAGAGTAACCCTTCACATAGGTGCTTTGGCTCAAGGAGAGCACAGCTGCCTTCTACTGTAGCTGAAACTTCAGTGGGATCACCAATGGTGATACAAGGTACAGCAGTGCCAACAAGGCTGCAAAAGCAACACACGAATTTGTGTTTAGGAATGCAGACAGTTTAAATGAAAGTTTGTTTTAAGGTGCAGTACTTTGGAGGCTTCCCAGAAAAAAAATATTTTGTAGATAGTCCAAGGCTAATATTTCAGGAGGCAGAGGAGCTCAAATTTGCTTTTCCTGCAGTGATGGAGGAACAAGCCAGGCTTTTTGTTACAGATCCAGAAGAGCAGGTCAAATAGTTGTAATCCTGGAAAGTGGTTTTGGTCATATAAATGAGAAACATGAGAAATTATTTTTCCTGGGACTAGGAGAAGGAGCATAAAGGAGGAAAAGCTGTGACCAAAGTGGGGCTTTCTGGGAGCCTACCCTTCCCTCTGTGGGCTTTTTATTTAAACTTTAAGCCTCTGTGAGTTTCCCTGAGCAAGAGCCTGAGTGGAAGGGAACTTGTGTACACTTGACTGAAGTGCAGTGCTCTGTGTAAAACTGCTCAACAAGGCAGCCTGGTCTCAGACCCTTTGCCTTGCATGTGCTGAAGGCATGTCTTGGGAGGGTGGCAAGCACACGTTAGCAGCTATCAGCATCAGGATTTCATTCCTACCACAGCATTGTACTGATCTTTGGAAGAGAAATCTTTCCATTTAATAGTATTTTGCTTCTTTAATTTTTAACATGCATCGTGAGAAACTTGCAGACTATGCAAACTATGTATTCACAAAGGTGGTAAGCCCCCCTCTCTGTGGTGTTCTGAACATCATTCCCAAATGTGTCCTGGAGAGCAAGAAAATAGAAATTAGTTAACTGTTGCAAGATGTAGGAAATCTGTGGCTATGCAATGAAAACCGGTGGACATTTCTGCACAGATGTGACATGAGAAATACAGTGTCCTTACTACGGGGAATTTGAATTTGTTAGTCACCTGTACACTATTTGCAGTCATAAGTCTTGTTATATGTTTATTGGCTGAAATGCACAATGTAATTTGTGGTGTTTTTCTCATTAATCATTTTACGATACTTGAAACAATCAGAACTTCACCATAACTTGAAAATCCCCTGGAGAGAAATTTACTGCATGCATGTTTTTAATTTTTTCCCATTATAATTCTTTTTCAAATAGTTTTATTCTTTTTTGCTTGAGAAATGCTGAGTCATTTCCTTTCTCCTTTCTATCTTTAATCAACCTGATATCAAAATTCACTCTGTACATTAGGTTGGGTACCTCCTTTCTTTGTAAAAGAGAGGGAGAGAAAGCACATCAGTCCCTACAATGCCTGAATGCCAAGTTGATAGGTGTGTGTTAAATTAATTGAATCTTGACCAATTGCAAGAGGATGGCATATTACGTTTTTTGGAAGAGAGTATCAGAAAAAAAAAAAAAAAAAACGAAAAATTTGATATGGAAACAACCATATGGCAAAGTCTTGTTTCCTCAAAATGAAGTTTAGAGATGAAAGGAGTAATTCAGCGATGACGTTCTGTTCTCAAAATGCACGCGGGCATTGAGAAGGCAGTGAAACTTTAACTCTGGCATGTTCAGGTCCCTCTAAGACAGTAATAGCACTAACATCATTCTGCAGTGTATTTAATGCTAATTTGATGCTTTCTCAGCTTTGCAATCTTTCAGGTGGTTTTGTACAAAAACTCATGCAGAAGGAGTGAAAATCACCAGGATAGAGAAATGTGTTTCTGGGTTTATCTGACTCTCCTCATCCAGTTCTGAAGAGCAGTGTTAAAAAAAAATGCATCAGCCAAGGTTGCCAAGAATATTTTGTGCTCTTCTGTACTTGCACATCCCTAGAAAATACACTGCTGACTGCATTTTTTAACCTTTTGGCTATATATTATGAAGTGCTAGCTGACAGGTAGCGCAGTGCTCTTTTCACTGCAAGGCCCTGTAATGTAATCACAGTTGTAAAAGGAACTTGGGAGTGAAGCAACTTGATAATTCCTCGCAGTGCTGTGGTGCCAAGTGCTTACAGGAGAAGGAGGGAGAGGCAACGCCAGGACCCCAGAGATTTATTCTACCCAGAAACAGCACAAGATATTTAAACAAAGGTGAAGTTGTTTGAGGTGCTGGCTGCTTGCTATGGATTGTATTGTAGCCGATGTTTAATTTTGCTTAAAGCAGAGGTAAGCCTGTATTTTCTGTGTGTTCCTGTGATGAGCCTATGTATTAGTCTGATTTAGCAGTGTGTGTTAGTCTGGGGTTCTAACTTTGCAATGCTACAGTCACGAAGGAAGAACCTGTGTCAGTGTGGTACACCTTTGATCTGATAAACTAGAAATTATCTCTAAAGGCAAGTTAGGAACAGTTTTAAAGGGAAATGTCATATCCACCTGGAGGTGCTGCTAGTGGTAAGGTAAAACTTGAAGGGCTTGAAAGTTGCAGTCCAAACAAATAAACCCACAGAAAAGGTATAAAATATTCAGATCAATTAACAGGATGCTAACTGGGAGAAAAGCGAGAGGTCTGTTTCTCAGGCTGCGATGTCTCCTGATTAGTATGCTGTGCTGTTAAATTATTATTCAGAAACTTTTCAACTGTACAAAAAGACGTGTAACATCTTTTTCCTAGAAGATGCTTTCACACCAGTGGTTTTAACAGTGTTTCAATTTACAGTTTTTATGGAAATTGTAAAAAAAAATTGGGCTTTGGGTTGCCATTATGTACATCACATAATTCTCAGGAAATTTTTTGAGCACGTGTAGCAATAGTAAGTTTTTTTCTTAGTGATGTCTTATAAATTGTCTTATTGGTGATATCATCTTGTAAATCATTGTCTTTAAGCAATCATACTGTCACTTCATTGTTTGAATAATAAATACTGAAGTATTTGTAATTATGAAGACTTATTTAAAACAGTCTCAAATTTGCTAAAATCGTAATGGCTGTCTAAAACCAAAAAAAGACAATGCAGTTACTTAAATATGTTGAAATTCTTACAAAGCTAAAATGTTGGTTTAGTTTATCTGAAGAATCTCTTCTACTTTCTTCTGCATTACAGTTTGGTTTTCCCCTCCTGCGTTAGCTGACCGCTGTGTCCCAGCACCCTTTCAGTGGACAAATGTTCTCTCTATACCATATGTCAGTTCTCTTCTAAGGGCTGGCTGGTAATAAACAACACTGTCATGTAACACTGTGTTTTGCTGTAAAAACATTGCTGCTGAGTGCAAACAGCTCTTCTGAGCTTCTTATTTCGTTCTGCCTTGCTCTGTCCTCCAGTCTGACAAAGCCAAGAGTGAGTGCTTGAAATTTTATGAACTGTTTATACAGTAAATAATTTGTTCAAAACATGACTTTATGACTAATTGAATTGCACTGAAACAAGCTTTGAGTTGAAGAACCAGGCATGTATGCCTACCACCAGTTTAATTTACGTATTCTGCTTTGGTGTAGCTCTTTGCATATATGTGAACAAGGTAATTGAGATGCCATGATTTCATATGTTTATAGAGAGTGTTTCATGCAACAAATCTAAATGCAAATGGTTAAGAGTCAGAGTTTGCAAGTTTTCTTTTCAATGAATAACACAGGCAGAAGCTGATGTTCTGCAGTGCACTGGCTAAAATGCCATCAAATCTTTAGTATAACCATTAACAGCATTTCAGTAAAGTCTCCTTTTGTTAGGATTGGTGCTTTTTGTTCCTTTGTCTCTAAATATGTAAGAAAAATATACGATGTATATTGATGGACTAATCTGTTTTGTATTGTCTGAAAATATTTATTGGGAATTAAATTGGTTTGCCAGCAGAATATGTGAGTTTATAAATACAGCTATGAGATTCAGTTTTTTCCAAACGCCTGAGAAAAAAATACATCTTGATAAATAATCCCAGCTGAAGAGCTGAATAATATTTGTAGAAAGTTTTGATATTTACAATAGCATTAATGTTGTTTGTGGATTTGTTTTAATATATAGAAATAGGAAAAAGTACATGATCTTTTATATTTTGATTTTAAGCCTCAGGATCTAACACCGCAGAATATAAAGACCTTTCTGCTGTCTTTGAATATATTGTGTGGTAGTTGGAGGAAACACTTAAAAGACTATTACTGCAATGTTTCAGATGTCTTTTTATAAACAGTATTATATATTCAGGACAGTGTAGCAGAATACACAGAATAGAAAATATAATGGAGCATTGCAGGATATAAAGTTTAGGAAAAAATTGTATTTAAATGTAGGATTTTTTACTATTTATCTTCTGTGCATAGCACTTTCAGTCTTTGAGATCAATCTGATGCTGAGTTCATCTGAGAGATGTACACATGTGATAGAACAAACGCTGTTTGAATTATTTCTTCTTTTCTTTCTCTGTTTTAGAACTATAAACCAAGGGGCACTTTGTCAATTCCTGTGTAATGTATTTTCTTGTTGTTTGGAAGTGCTACACGCAGAGTGAGTGGGATGCTGCAGAACTTGTAGCTCAGCCAGTCTCCAAGCAGCCAAATTTCAGGTTGTAAAAACAGTAACACATGAGAAAGGACCACAAGGAAATATGCCACGTGGCTTTTCTTTTTATAGTTCTTTGAGTAGAGGGTGACCCTTACTATTCCAGCTGGCATAATCTTGGTGTCTCACACAGTCAGTGAGCTGTAGACCTTTTAGGCTTGCTTTGGATGCATGCTCATGCTTGATACCATGAATAATTTGCTCTTGAGTCATGCGATGACATTGCATATTAGTGCCCTTCTTATTCTCCCTTTCGTTAGTGGATTTAGCAATGGTGTATGCTTTGTTCTCTGGACCATTCTTTTGAACCAGTCACGAAGTTTCCATGCCACGTACGCAGGTGCTGCACGTGTGGGAATTTGCTGGGTTTTTTTGGTGCTGATCGCCTAGTTTCCCTCAGGTATGATTCTGGGCAATGCTCACTCAAGGCACCTCTCCCTATAGGTAGTACATAGAAGACCATGACAAGATTGTCTTCTGCCCTACAGAGGTCTCTAACACTGTCCTATTGACTAAGTCACCAAGCTTGTGTCCTTGCATATTCTTGTATGTCCCCTGGCCTCGTCCCCCCCCTCCCCGTGTAATACACACCTTGGCATCACAGGATAAAAGCTTTACTCCAGCAGGTTGTGGTGCAGCCCCTCCCCTTATTTCAGACTTACTTTACTGAAACAAGACCAAAACAGAGTCATTGCCTCCAGGCAGCACATGGGGCCCAGAGGAAAAGCCAGGCCAGTGGTGATGCCAGGTGCAGTCATGCCTTTGCTAAGGGCAGTCATGGATGCAAGTCATTTTGGGCTGTTTGTCCTGGCATTGTCCTCTTTGATTCGAATACCTTTAGAAATGCAAAGCTAGCCTTGAGGTATCTCTAGCAGGCCACCTTAAATCTATAGATACTGTCACTGACGCTTTCTCGCTAATATAATTCTCTTGTCAATAACGTTTTTCTCCTAGCTGCTATGTCTGAAAGGGATTAGGAGGTACAGAAGCTGGAGACATATCAATTGCATTGATATTTGGTGCAAATGTAAGACAGTACACACACTCACAAGCTTGCTTTTTGCTTTCCATCATTACTTAGGTCAGGATCTCCATTAATTTACTTCTGTCTGAGAAAACCAAAATCAGGAATCAGTTTCTTGTCAGATCAAAAAGGAATCGTTATAGAGTATATTTATAATAGGTAGGCTGAAACAGCGCATTGCACACACTCGTCAGTGTGCTACAACAAGGCTGTTGATGAATTGCAAAATGCTTATAAGCTGTGTATGTTTTGTAGCTTCAGGTGGCTGCTTTATGATCCTTTTGCATCAGTTATTAAATCTGCAAAAAATGTTCATCACAGTTGCTCTGTAACAGTTTTTCTCTAGCTTGTACCTGCTAAACTATGTGTTTACCTGCAGTTTGTGCACATCCATCTGCATTTCTGCGCAGAGAAAGCCTTACACGATCGACATAGCATACAGAAGCATACAGACCATTTTGGAGTAGTTTTCACCCCTGAATGATATTCAGTATAGAGACAGTTCATCTTCAGTCTGCACAATTAATGTAGTGTCATTTACACGGTGCAGGCAAATAACTGTAACATTATAAAATGTAGTTGTACGTATCAAACTAATAAAAATCAGGAGCAGGAGCAAGCGTTCTCCAATAAATATCCAGACAAGAGTAGAAAATCTTCTCAATATGTCATAGCATAGATATTGAACTTAAATATTTTATGAACTTACACTGTTTATATAAAGACAGTGTTCCAAGATATATGCAGAACTGCTAGATTAAAAGTAATACAAGATGAAAATGAAAGTTGAGAAAAAATTATCAAAGGCAGGAGTAACACTAGTAGTTGTTCAGATCCCGTATTTCATTATGCAGTCCAGGCAGGACAGGAAGTTGTACTCCAGAGTGACTTCCCATTACTGGGGTACGTTTAGAAATAACAGCAATTCCCAGCTCAGCTGTATTCACCACCTCCTTCCCTTGCAGAACAGAGTTTTGCTGAGAAGTTTACAGGAGTGCACCAATGAGATAAACGGTTCTCATTACTTTTTGTGTTATAAGTGGATGAAAAAAAAAATACGATATGCATAACTGACCAAGGTTAAAACTTCCAAAACCTGTGCAGCCTGTGTTTCGGTGTTCAGTCACGGGCAAAAGCAATGCCCTTTATGCCATAAAACTCTAGATGTGTTTTACCATTCTGTCTTGGGTTACTTTTATGTTGTATTTATGATTTTACTGCAGAATATTAAGACTGAGGTTATAAAATGAAATATGCAGAAGGGCTGTGTAGTTTTCCCAGGAAGCGTTGTGGATATTAGTAGCAGTTCCAAGAAGAGGCAAAAGAATTTTTTTTAATCTTCAACTTGAAAACAAAGTATTGATAAGAAAAAAAAGAAGTGGAATCCAACACAGTAAGACAGAGAGCAGTGGCTTGAAAAGTATTTGGAAAAAGACAATCTGGTATTTGCAGCACAGCGAGATAAGATTGTGGACTTGCTTATAGCCGTGCCCAAGGATTCGTGCTTCGTGGTCTGTGTATTTAAAACGTGTGGTGCAAAGAAGTATATTCAAGCAGTAACATGGATGTTATCCACGGTCATGTAAAATTACTCTTTCAAAACAAACCACTTGCTATTTTCAGTCTCTGCTGTGCCTCAAAGCTAAAATATTTATTTCTGTAATTTAGTGAACGGATATTTTTTACAGTCATTATTTCTATGAATATGTTCTTCATTATGCTTTCCCAACAGCCTGGCTCCAATCCCTAAGTTTCAGCACCCACCATGTTGTCTCTTTCCCAAGTTGTACCAAGGTCATGGTGATCTTGCAGCTGCCATCAGTGTCTCATCAATCCCATGTCCTGAGCTGAGAATACTCCCAGGCAACCCTGTTCAGCTGCCCACATCACATGCTCTACCATGTTATGTCCTTCCAGGCATGCTGGCTGATGGGGCTTGCTCCAGAAAAAAAGGCAGGGGGTGAACTACCTAACCTCACCCACTTTGTGGGATCAGATGGAAATAGAGGCACCCTCAAGCACCAGCGAGAGAGAGGCACAGAACAACATGGTGACAAATGCATAGCTGCTGAACATGTGAGAATCCTGCTTTGGTGTAGGGTCTGCATGTGGGTTATCCTTCCTAGGCCGCCTTTTGATTCACTTTTGGTGCTCAGCTTACCTTTCAGTGTTGATATGCTGCACACACCATCTATCTTTAAAGATAAAGCTTGGGTCCAAAGTGTGGCGTTTGATTTTCTGCCTATGGAGTCACTGAAGTTCCAGCAAATACCTTCTGCAGCCACCTGCACTGCGTCGGAGAGGAGCCTGCTCTGCCTGGGCGCCTTGTCCAGCCTCCTCTGCCTCACGTTTCGCAGCACTGAGTAATGTGCTTTCAGCTGACCAAGGACCAGGAGTTTGGATGAGGTGCAGTGGCCTCAAAACCTCAGAGCTGTTGGCCTCAGAAGGGCGTAAAGGACCTCGGGAAGTAGCTGATTTCTTCCACTCGGAGGCATGTGTTTCTGTGCTCCTGGGTGGCCGCGGGTCCAGAAGGCTTAAAAGGAAAACCACAGCCCCTTTTGCTGTGGGGCTGTCTCTTCTTAGCCCAGTATATTAATTATTTCCCTTTTTTTTTTTTTTTCTTTGGCCATGTTTTCTGCCTGTCTGCTAGCTCCAGAGAGGTTACTGTGCTAACCCCGGGAGAGAGGGAGCTGCTCTCTCCTGTGTGGTTTCTCCCTGCTCTCCCCCAGCTCTGCAGACCCAAAGAGCCAGGGCCAGCTATTCTCCACCCTGAGCAACGGACAGGCTCTGCAGGGGATACCAAATCCAGAGCTTTTATGTGAAGAGAGGTCAAGATATGACAGCTTCAAACATCAACCATGTCCCCATGAAACAGGAAGGTGAAAAAATGTTCAGAGCAATTTGGTCTCCATAGCAGGTGGAGGTGGAAGAAACATTTCTTTTTACAGATGCTCCCCTGAGCAGACTGCGAAAAGGAAGCAGAGACTTCACAGGGAGCAAATGGAGGAGTACTTAAATGAAGGGCAAAATGCAGGAGAATGTTTTTTGCGTGCATTTACATGAAACTTTGTAAAATCTACTACTTCCTGAGAGAAAGTAGTGTTACCCATTGAGTGACAGGCTGAACTAAATGAAAATGAACGGGACACTGAGTTTAAAGTCAACACACTCTGTTACATCACACAGAGACTTTGGTGGAAGTATTTCAGTTAAAGGACTTTGGAACCAAGCGTCATCATTTAGAAACATAATTTCTGCCATGTGACAGCAGAATTCATTGTAGGTCGGCCATTGCACCTGGAGCCCATAAGCACCCCGGTAAAGCACTGGAAGCTGTCCTTGCTCAAGGGTGACGTTAAACCTTCCAGGTGGAACTCAAATTGCATTTTAAAGAATGTGTGATGGAAGCTTTTCCAAATGGATCAAGTCTTTAAACAATTTCGCAAGATTTCTATTACTCTCTAGTGTTCAGTTGCAAGCCTAGACTCTGTGAAGTCCTTCATCTTCCACATGGATTCTCTAAAGAGTTAATTCCACTTAGGCAGTGCTGAGATCAGAAGTTATGTAACTCATTGTTTACTTTGAAGAATTTCTGTGGTGAAAAGTAAGATTTTGCTGGGTCAAAGCACATTATTATATTTCTTATAATAAGTATTTTAGTACTTAACATTTTTCTGTTGAATGCATGAAGAGGTTTTTTTTCCCTCTTTTTTCCTGTGAGAGTTGTAACTTCTTTTGTAATTACCCAACCTAACTAACAGGGTGGCTAGAGACACCTTACCGAGTGTATGGTTAGCAGACACTATCGCAGCCATCCTGTCTACATCCTAACTGTATAAAGGTTATTAAAAAAACACCTAATTTCAAAAAGTCTGGCCTAGCCTGCAGTCCTTGTAAAGAGAAGTCATCGACAGTTTGCAACTGATTATTGAATAATAATGTTCAGGTCAGATCACTGTTGTTGGGGTGAAACTGCAAGGAAAGGCTTTGCTCTAAGTTGTTATTCTAACTATCTCTTCTTTTTCTCTGCTTTCAGAGGCCGGCAACAAGAAACTAAAGAGCACGATACAGAGAAGCACAGAGACAGGAATGGCAGCAGAGATGAGAAGTCGTATGGTTCGACAGCCAAGTCGAGAATCCACTGATGGCAGCATAAATAGTTATAGCTCTGAGGGCAAGTAAGTGGCATTAGAAACATCAGTAATGTAGGAGAAGTTTCTTGGCTGTGTAAGAAAACTTGTAATGTTAACAGAGGTCCCAGCTCTGTCTGAAGGGGATAGCACTGTGTACAGATTCTTCCTCTTGAAACATTTGCAAAAATGAACTGTTTTAGGTATTTAATGTAAATTCCTTGAAATTTGAAATTGGCAGAGAACTTCTTAGGGATTCACATTTTCCCTGTCATCCAGTGAGGCATTTTGTTCATCAAAAGACAACTAATTCAAACCACATTATTCAAAGCAAAACATAGGGGTATTTTTTTCTTTATGTTTGGACTAACTCAGAGTTAAACCTCAGATGTTGTCTGTAAATCCATGTGATATGAAACTCTGTTCAGTAATACTGTATACAAAGAAAGTTTAGTTTGGAGTTGGTCCAGGTCTCTTACTGAGAATTGTAAACCCAGAGTCCAGCTGCCCCATCAGCTGAAATGAGGCAGAAAACTGTGGGGAATGGGGCAGCTGTCTTCATTCAGGGCTGAATGACTCGCTGTGTAGGAAAGGAGAACAAAGGCAGGTTTGACACAAAAGTGCGCATGAATACTCCAGGTCCCTCACAGCTCTCAGTGGGACTTGAACTCATGTGTCAGGGCACTGTGGTCATTTCGGAATTCTTAGAAGATGCCTAGCCACAAAAGTGGAAACCAGGGCTAGGCAAATCCACCTTATAGACCAGAAAAAAATGAGAGACTGGGACTTCTTTGGCTTCATCTTTTTATATGCTTACCACGTTACTGCAATTACTAGTGTATGTTATACGAGGCATGCAGACCTGGGGTAGCCATGGTGGTGCCAAGGAGCTGTGTAAAGGTGCAGTTCCTCCATCATCAAATGATCTCACCACTTTCCATTTTTTTCTGTAATGAGGGTGATGAGACACTGGAACAGGTTGCCCAGAGAAGTTGTGGATGCCCCATCACTGGAAGTGTTGGATGAGGATTTGAGTGACCTGATCTAGTGGAAGATGTCCCTGTCCATGCAGGGGGGTTGGAACTAGATCTTTAAAGGTCCCTTCCAACACAAACCATTCTATGATTCCATGATTATGCTAAGAATTGCAGGAGTCATGTACAAAAAAAAGACTCCATCATGAATATTTTTTCCAGTATGATCCTATGATAAGGCATTATCTTTACCCTTCAGCACTTCATCCTGCCATCCTCTCTCTAGGCTGGAGTGTCAGTTTAAGGGACCCTTCACTCACCATGGTGACGAAGGGCCCAATAAACTGGATCCTGCTAAGGAGGAGCTCAGGGAGCCTGTTTCCCTGGTTAGCAGTATGGGAGAGGTGAGAGTCCAGCACTGACAGCAGGGACCTTTTCAGGGGAACAGCCTAGTCCTACACTCCACCGTCAGAGTGTGTAAACAGATTTGGGAAGGCTGGGTGGCCAGGGTCTGGATCTGGAGGTCACAGCAAGCATCTGGAGGAGAGAAAGTGCAAGGTAAAGCCTTAAATTTTTGACTTGAGAACCAGTCTCTGAGCAAGGCAGTGAAGAGAGCAAACCTGGGAAGTAAACGGGGTGCTTGCTTCTTATTGGGGTGTATAGCAGGCTGGGTGTGCATATTGAAAATTATCCTTTAGAAGTAAGTCGATCTTCAAAGTGAAGTGAGCTGGTAGTCACACTATCTGCATCTTATGTCTTGTTTCTGCCTCCTTAGCTCCTGTGCCTGCTCCCCATCTCTTGCTGCACCAGCGCCAGTTCTGCCTCTGACAATTCTCTTTACCTCTCTCAGCTCTCTCTTACAATAGATTTCTTCACATTTGACCACATTTGTCCTGCTTTTCCTAACCATATTTCTGGCACCAACTCGATAACTTTTCCTATGTTTCTGTCCCAGACGTTTGGTTTGATAGAGTTTACTTGAGTTTGATAGAACGTTAGTTTACAGCAGCTCTGGGTTAGTTCACAGTGAACGAAGAATGTTAAATGCAGAGGTTCTTGTAAGAAAGAGGACCATTTAAGAGGACTTTCTGCTGTATAATCACTTGCCCTATGTGCATCACTGCCCAGTTTTTATAACGTGAGTCAGACACAACTACAAGGTGGTTGGAAGTTGCGTGACTGCATCACATAATCAGGGGTACATGTACTGTGCCAGCTGATCCTAAAATCCTCTCCCTCTCTCCCTCTTTCTTCTGGGCCTTTTTTTGAATGTTAGAAATCATAGAATCATAGAATGGTTTGAGTTGGAAGGGACCTTTAAAGATCATCAAGTTCCAACCCCCCTGCCATGGGCAGGGACACCTCCCACCAGCCCAGGCTGCTCAAAGCCTCATCCAGCCTGGCCTTGAACCCCTCCAGGGATGGGGCATCCACAGGTTCTTTGTTGTCAAAGTGTCACCTTTAACTTCAGATATTTTATCTAGTGTGAGCACAAATCAGTTTGTGATAGCACCTTATGTTCAGACTTCCCCTACATTTGAATAGTGAAGCTGTTCGCTAGATTTTTCCTGTCTCCTGTGAGATTTTCCATCAAAATCAGTGAGAGCTTAACTTTGGTTGCTTGAGCAGTATTTTGTCATCAGTTCACTCTTGACATTACTGTAGGTGAGTTATGATGACAATTAGGAAGTGCTTGTGTGAGTTTACACAGGCTACTTTTCCTTCCTGGTGTGTATACATTATGATACTGACGTTACTTCCAGGATGACATTGTTTACTGACAGCATCATGCCTCATTCTGCATTTCATAATCAGATATATAGCTCAGCTGAGAATTCTGTACATACCTCAGGTACTACATTATGTTCTTCTGCTCGACCCGTGACCTGAGTTTAATGAATTAGAATTAATGCACGTTAAGGTGGATGAAGTAATTCACACTTCATTATTTGTATAGCTAGAGGTATCTGAAAAGTGAGAAGGCTCTAAGGTGAAGACTTCAATGTTAGTCAGTCCACAGGAAAATGTAACAGCTGTTTTGGAGAAAAAGGGCAAAGAAATGAGCAAGGAACTTTTCATAACAGGGGCAAGAGTGAATGGGTAGTGCCACTGCGGAGAGAAGCAGATTTTGTGTCTTGTCAGGCACAGCGGGCGGCTTGAACCTGCATCTCAAGGTTAGGTGAGTGTTGTAGCTAGTGGGCTCATGGCTGAACTAGAGACCTTGAGGTTCTTTTCCTCCTCCGTCTAAAGAAACCTTCTTAAATATTATTTAAGACTAAACTTCTGTGAAAAACTTATTTTTTGGTAAATCAGAGTTTTCAAGTGAAAAGCACTCTGGTGATATTTTGTAGCCAGCTGTAGTTACAGTCAGTCTAAACATTTATGCAGGCACAGTAAGATCAGTTAGTCTTGAAGAGAGGAATGGACTTTTTCCGTCAAACTAACTGGGGTTTGCAGAGAATGTTCAGAGTGAACCCTGATACGTGGAAAGCAAAGCTTTTCCCACTAGATGTTTTTATTAGGGAGTTTTGTTGTTATTTTCTCCAGTCTAATAGGGAATTTCCTTTGAGGGAGAAGCAGTTACAGACTGGTAGATGGCCTGCCAGGTAAGGTGCTATCTAGACTTGGTGCAAGGTCTGTTCTTCGTAATGGTGGTGAGGAAGGCAAAGCTCAGTCTCCCCACCATGGATCATTCTCTCTCTGGTTTTTTATGTTTTTTTCATTTGTTACTGTTTGGAGAATGTGTAGCCATTAAAAAGAAAGCGGAGGTTTTGGAATACAAGAAAGCAGCTTGGAAAAGCACATGTATTCCGTGCTGATGTATTACAGTTCAGTTTGTGTCCCGAAAAGGGTGGGTGGTGTTCACCCAGATGTGGCTACCAGAATATTTTGGCTAGGGAGTGGCATAAAGTTTAGCTCTAATCAACACAAGTACTACCTGCCAGTTTACTGCTTCATTAAACAGCTGCAACAATCAGGTTAATTTAGTCTATACATCTGTTCTCCCTGTTTGTTCTAAGTGATGTGGCTGGGGTTTGGATGTGTGTATGGACAGTATTACAAGGTAAATCAGGCATTCAGGGATGAAGAATGATAGGCTAGAAATTTCATGAGGCTTTTTATGTTTTCTCAGACAAGGTCACTCATAGTTTTTTCATCTGTCAGGCTCTTCCCTGCTTCCAGGGAGCTCCTTAAGCAAGAACTTTGAGTCTGTGTGCAGAATTTCACTGCTCTTCTTTGGGGTCTGTGGGAGACAGCTCATTCCTGATGCTGCAGAACAATTTGTGGTTGCACATCCTGAGCTGCTTGCCTTTTATAAGTAGTACTTTTGAGGTAAATACTGTGTGGCAATAGAAATTAATCTTGTTCTTATGCTTAACCAGCTTTTATTTTGCTTCAGCTTAATATTTCCTGGAGTACGGCTGGGTGCTGACAGTCAGTTTAGTGATTTCCTCGATGGACTTGGACCTGCACAGTTAGTAGGCCGACAAACGCTAGCGACTCCTGCCATGGGTAAGAATAATACGTTCTCCTCTGTTAAATGAACAATAGGACAATTAACTAATGCACACACTGCCAGACTACAGCACTTACAGACTTTTACAAAGCGGCTTCCTTCACTGTAAACGTGAAGGTCCTGTACACAGTCACTGCAATTCCTCGCATGCTAGCATCCAAACCGGGGTGAGAATATTTGCTCCGTTTGTGAAGTGTTGGCTGATCTCATTTGCAATTTGAAGACAGGGGTAGCACTTTGCTTGCCGCTTGAAATTATTGTGGTTTCTCCAGTTGTTGCTCATTGCAAAATCTCAGCTGTTCAGAGTTTATAGTTACTTGCCACAGATTTTTCTGGATGTGACAGGCAGTTTCTGGCCAAACTCTGCACTTGTCCAAGCTTATTTCAGCCTGAAGGAACACCAGAATGTGAAACTTCTGCCCACATTTGCAATGCCCAATAATCAGCTGCCGATAAAGCCAGCATTTGGCATGAAAGAGACAAAATCCCTTTCTACAGCAGCTGCCTGGGGCTGTCTGTGATCTCTGCGTTCCAAACCAGCCAGGGTTTCCCTCTAGTAGCATTAGCTGTATCTTGGTTATGAGGAGGGTGCAAGTGTATAAGGTGTGTAACAGCGCAGTACTGTGTAAGTAACTTTGGAAAGGTTTTTTGGTTTTTTTTTTTTGCTTATATATGATCAATTCTTTGACATGCTTTAGGATGCTAAGTGAGGAGTCCTTGCTCCACTACTTTAACCATACTTCTCCTGTTGGAAATTATAAATGGCCAATGCCTCGATACAGCTGTCTTGGGAGAATCAGCTTCAGGAAGGGCTACTGAGCCCTTCTGAAAAAGGAGAGAGAAACAGAAAGAAAAATTGCAGAAGAGAGTGTTCCCGTCCCAACTCATGAGCAGAAGGAGAGAGGAGCTTTCTTGACAATGCTTTGAGTGCCCCCTAAGGTTAGGGTTGCTGTGTTATTCTAAATTACTGCTAATGCATTAATAAGCACCATACTTGTTAAGTACATATTTTTTTATTATTTTGAAAGAGAATATATTTGTGAGATGATTTGCCCAACATAAATCGAAGTGGCTCTATGGGTATGAATACAAGGGTCTAGATGTCTTCCATTTCTTTATTTTAATCTTGTTTTCTGACTAAATATTTTTCTACAGATTATTTGAGTAATATGTTAATTTTCACTTCTTAGAACTACATTAGTTACTAGAGGCTCATGTTGTGGCCCCAGAAAAAGCAGTCAGTTGTGCTTTTTAACATTTTCAGAAGACTTTCTATGTTGTATTCTTTCACTAGTGACAATGTGAAAATGTTTGTATTACCACTCCCCCTTCTGGTTCCCTGTCGCATGTTTTATTCTGGATGTGCAATATGGAGAAGTGCTCTTAAAAAGGCTTGTTGGAATTTTCCTGTGAACTATTTTTAGCACAACACAGAGCTCTGTTTGGCTCAAGCAAAGTTTGATTGATTAAAAAAAATCTTCCCTGCTGTTCTGTCATACCTAAAGTACCCAGACATAAACACTGCTTTAATACACTGTTAGACAAGCATGTGCAAATCTCATGCCCAGTTAATTTCAAAATACTGTCTTTCTCAACCTGGACCCCAATTTCTACATTTCTTTTTGTGGGAGTGTTTTTTAGACAATCAGAGTTTACATGTCAAATATACTCTCGTGTTTCATAGATACACATATAGTTCGTTTATTGGCACAGGCGTCACATAGCTGCCCATGTCATACTGTGCATTTTTTATTCTAAAAGTGGCCTCTTAGATTTCTACCCGGTTCCGTGATATGTGAAGCCATAAGAGGTCTAACGCTTTGACCATCAGCCCATAGTTGACTTCCCTTGCATCTCATTGATCTAAATCAGAACAGTGCTTGATCTGGGACTAAGCAGGTTACTTTTTCTGCAGGAACTGTCATTTGTCAGTACTCAGGCCCGGAGACAAGTTTGACTATTTAATAGCAAAAGCAGCTTCTTATTTTAACATGTCACATCATTTTATTCACACCAAAAATGGGTCTGGAATATTGATAAAAACAGGAAAATTGTCACCTCTCTACTGGTTGGAGACTTTTGCAGAGAAAATGCCTCTTGAGCTCCTGGAGGGGAGGGCATCATTCTCTGAAGCTGTGCTATGACTCTGCCTTGTTTGGTTGGTGTCTCTGCCGTCCGCTGAGGATCCAGTCAGGCAACTGCCATTTCAGAAGGTTTCAAAGTTAGCCTCCACCATCAGTTCTCTTTCCTGCTACATCAGAGAAGGAACCTTTGTAGGCTTGCAGGCCAAAACTTCCAGGTGAGGGAATTCCTGAACATGAGTTTGGGTTTTAGGCTTTCTGACTGTGGGACCACCGTCAGGGCAGCGCGTGTCAGTGACTGGCACACTGGGGCAGCAGTCCTAGGCAGGAAGGCTCTAGATAATTCACCAGTGCAAAATTAAAGGTGTGATGGTGATACCACAGTGTTGCTATAAATTTGCCTGCCTCCAATAAATTGCCTGCCTCCGTGGATCCCTCAGTATGTATCTTTCAGTCCAGGTTTAAGCATGGAGGAATTGAAGGGATCAGGAGGAGAGGTGACAAGCACAGTAATGCAGCAGACAGGTTGCAAACTAGTCTTTCTGTTTCTCACTCTTATACCCTATGTCCCGGGCCATACTGCGTCTCTAAATTGTGGGCTTCTTTCTTCTCCCTCTCAGGTGACATCCAGATTGGAATGGTGGATAAAAAGGGCCAGTTAGAAGTAGAAGTCATTAGAGCCCGTGGCCTCACACAAAAACCTGGCTCCAAATCTACCCCAGGTAAGGAAAAAAAAACCAAAACAAAACCAGAAAACAAGAGTATGAAATATGCTGATGAACTGGGGATTGGAGATTTTTGAGCTCCTGGTTAGCTGTCACTACATTTGCATTTGTTTGGTGTTCTTTTCAACAAGGAACACATGCGTGGCTGTATCCTTGTTACCAATGTCCCCTTCCTACCACCTTGCATCTGCCAGTTGCATTCCACCTTTCAAAGAATGATTTTCAGCAACTCAACATCTGTTCTGGAAGGAACATTTGCACAAGAATTTCTGCATATCTTAGGCACGTCATACATCTCAGGGGGGCTTTGTCGATGTAGATGAAGTCCTTTATGTTTGTTACACATCAAAACAAGAAATGAAGGGCAGATAAAAGTGTTCTGAACAAACAGCTTAACAGACCCATGTGCCAGGATCTTCTGTACACAACAGTGCTTCAAGAAGACAACAGGTTATGCTAGTGCCAGTATCAATAACTGGCATAATGAATGAGATTTAATACTGTATCATTTTACAAGGACAGTTTTTGAAGTTATATTTATATATAGAAATCTTTATTAGAAGAGATTTATAATCACTGCCACAACCACTACTTACCATAAACCTGGAACGGTTGTTTTAGATAATATTTTGCCAAAATTATACTTTACAACTGCCTTAGGAACTGAAGATGAAAGAGCAATTAATGTCTTTGTTAGCTGAGTGACTTTGTTTTAAATATTCCTTTCAACAAAACACCAAAGTCTTTTGTTTTGAAATATCTTTGACCCCTAAACATACAGGGAGACACCAGAGTAGCTATCAGTGACAGTTAATTCCTGGCAAAAGAAAGTGTTTTTAAAATGACAGACATGAAACAAAATTGTTAGTAACATCTTAGATCATTACATTCAAAGTTTATAAAAATCAATTTGATTTCTTATGGTCTGTGTCATTTATTTTATGAATATAATTGTATCCAGATTATACAGTGAAGATAGTATGTGTCATTTTCTTTTTATTCAACTTCCTTTTAAGACATTTGTCCTTCAGCTCAGATACGCAGGGCAGAAGGTTTTAAGTCCAAACATAAAATTCATGGTGTTCTGTTTGCAGCTCCGTATGTCAAAGTGTATTTATTGGAAAATGGAGCATGTATAGCTAAGAAAAAGACAAGAATTGCACGGAAGACCCTTGATCCTTTGTATCAACAGACACTGGTTTTTGATGAAAGTCCACAGGGTAAAGTCCTTCAGGTCAGTTGCTTCTTAATCCCATTTTAGGCTATCATTTGGAGAAGCACTTGCATGTTTACTTAAGATTAAGCAATATGCATAAGCTCGTTCCAACTCACTAAGCATTTATTTTTATAAATACCCACAAACAGGTCCCTGTGGCTTGTGGTTTCAGACCTGCAAAATGTCTGGCTGTATTAAACATTTCTCTTTTGTTGACTCTCACTCCTGTCCTGCCATTAGGTTTTCCTTCAAGAGGGAACAATCATTCACCCTTAAGAATAACATTTTCCTTACACTACATGTAACTGCAGGAGTGAACATACAAGCACAGGTTTGGGGACAATGCTGAACCTGTATTTTATGTTCTTCCAGGTAATTGTTTGGGGAGACTACGGCCGAATGGACCACAAATGCTTCATGGGAGTTGCTCAGATCCTTCTGGAGGAACTGGACCTGTCCAGTGTAGTAATAGGCTGGTATAAATTATTTCCACCTTCATCACTAGTGGATCCAACCTTGACTCCCCTGACACGCAGGGCTTCCCAGTCATCTCTGGAAAGTTCAACTGGGCCTCCCTGCATTAGATCATAGTAGCAGGTGCTGTCTAACAACAACGTCACCCAGGATAACAATTGGAACCAGATATTCACATGATCAAAAAACACTGATGGAGAGAGATAATCACTTCTGTTTTTTGCTTGTAGTAGTTATCCAAAAGTATGTCTGTTTGTCGAGAGATGGCTTGAATTGACAGAACAAAGGTATATCACATATGGCCAATCTATTAGCGGCTATCACCGATGCTTATAATGATCCAAAAAAAAAAAAAAAAAAAAAAAAAAAAAAAGGAGAGCGAGAGAGGGACCTTTAGATTCAACCTAAGTCAAAGATGAGCCAAACTGGAAGCTCTCACTCTGTTAACAATGTTGTATTTTTCACATTTTGACAGAGCCCTCAAACAGTGTTACCTTCCTGGTGTTTCAACAGTTTTTCTGTAATTGTCACTTCCACTAGTTTTTTGCCATGTGATTCTGCTAATTTTGTAGAAGTCCTCACAACGCTAACAGAGACCCTTCCTTTCTTTTTCTAAACCAAACCAAAAAGGGCTGAAGCATATGTCTGTAAGCATCATTAAAGTGTTCTACAGCCACAGTTACGATCCCAGTGGGTTGAAATAGTTTCTCAGTTCTGGTATTTCCAAGTCTCTCACGTGGGAACCCAGAACAAATGACCAATCAAGGTTGTATTCTTAAAAATAAGTAATCATCACAGTGCCACTTTTTCTTTGTAAAAAGCAGATATGTTTGCATTATATATAATAACTTTTATGTTTCTTATGTTTTGCATGGAAGAATTTTGAAGAATTCTGCAACTACTGCTGGGGACTGGTATAAAGCAGCTTTAGTGTTAATTTTGACATTGAATATGTTACTGGTAATGCAGTTTTCCTCCTAGAAATGGAGAGGAAATATTTACGTTTCTGTGTATAAATGTATATTTGACTTCCCAAAATGTTGACCAGGAATGGATTGAGCATATGACACTTTCAGCTGTACCCAGGCTTCTCTGATGTGTGTCGCTTTAGACGCACCTGTCTGCCCTGGATAGAGCATGTTATGAGTTGTTCAGTGTTTCACTGGAAATTCCAGTTGAAATATTCTGCACTTACTAATGTTTTTATCAAATTTTAGTTTACATTTCTTTTAGACTGATGCAAGCACAAGGCTTGATTTTTTAACGCAGGATATCTTACTTTTTGGAGAAAAAAAAAAAAGTCAAATTTCAATTCGCTTTTTATTCATTTGAGTTCTTCTTGGCCTTGAAATCCCTTGTGATATTCTGTAAATGTGTGAACAACTGCAGATTCCTGCAGGTGCATCGATATGTTTCCCCTCCTTTTACAGGCCATTCAATTTTGTGATCACACAAATAGAGCAGCATGACTTGGAACTGTTCAAAGCTGCATGCACGTTTTGTAAAAAGAGATGAAAAAGGTTATTTAATAATGTATGTTAGTTCCACGTAGGCCAGCTTGTATGTTGCATGTACTTGTACAGTTTGCTCATAATTACTATACCGAAGTAACCAAGAAATCTAAGCCATCCATTTTTCTTATAGACATTTTGCAGGTTTTAGCCAGGCTAGGTCTGTGAGTCTGGTGCTAAATGTCTATAGATGGACTTTATTTTTTACCCTATGGAAAACGTGATGTAGTATGGACCAAATTCCTTCTAATAACTATTTTGGTGTAGATTCCTACTGTGGGGCTGTAACACATGTAGAAACTGTGTACACACTAGGTTTTAATTCATAGACATACTGCCTGCACCAAGTGAACTATTTATTCTTACTCAACACGTGGGAATTATTCTGCCCATCATTCCATAGGGCACAGATTGGTTACTGCTCGACCTGCTGAGCAGGAAGAACTCAAGCATTGGTGCACTACTACTAGATTCTGTTCTGTCTTAGTGGCCAAAACCCAACTAGTTATAATTCGGTAGTATCTTTCTATTTTGACCACTTGTCTTAACACTCCCCTGTGCTTTTAAATGAACTTCTGACTCATGTTATGTAAACATGTTTAATAAAATTTCCTTTTCATGTCCAGTGTAGTTGTTGTGCTCTCTGTATGTTCTGAGGTTCATCTGTGATTCTGCTCGCTGCAGGACTGTGTGAAATGTGTTAAGGAACAGTAAAATGATAAGTAATTTCTATGGTTCTTTTGATCGCTGTAATAGTGTCTGTTGAAATCTGGGGCCAAAAGCTGAGGCCTGGTGAAAGTCGTGTTTGGTTGGCTTCCTTTTCTCCGAGAAAGGAGCCAAATTGTGCTCTCACTCATTGGAGCAGGCAAATTGAAGTCCAAACCAAATTTAGACAAATAACAGTCTGGTGAAATCAAATCAGCTTGTTGGAGTTGAGTGATGCTGCGCCTGCTTGCACCAGGTCAGCAGGCTGGTGTGGATTAGAGCCAGACTCCAGCTCTGCTTTAAAATGTGAGAACAACTCCTTTTGCACTTTTCAAACCCAGAAATATGCCCTTGTATTATAATGCCTTTATGGACAATGCTTTATAGAAGTTTACCTGAGAGCAGAATTTGGCACTCAGTTTTATTAGAGAAGCAAAGATTATGTACTTTGTTTGATTTTTAGTTTTCCATGTCCCACAGATACCTGATCACAATTTAAAAATAACATAAAGACAATATTGCCTCACTTTGAACACTTTTGTTTATTACTTTATTTAAGTGAATACATGGTTAAGCTACTGAAAAAAAATGAATAATTAAACATGGTAAATATCTGAACAAAAGGCATGTTATATTTTTGCTTCTGAGTGGTGGGAGTTTAAATATAGAATTTGTCATACAGTTGCAAAAAGCCCTCAGTTTCATAAATCTCATGGCTTAGAATATTATGTCCTGTAGTAGGATATATTTTCCTTTCTGATCCTGGGAAATAAGTAAAGTTCAGCATTTCTGATCTCCCCCTGGAGCACAGAAAATATGGCAGCAAAAGAACACGCTGAACTATTTCATTTATGGCGTTCCTGATGAACAGGGATCACATATGCGAAGATTTCAGGAAAGAAGTAGTAGACTCTGCTAGGGCATATTAGTCGTGTGCTGGTCTCCTTTCCCAGGGACTGTTGCCTTTTAAAAACTCACTGCTGAGTGTTGGGATTATCATACACAGATAAATCAGCTTTAGTTCCCTCCTAGTTTTCCTTTGAGAATGCAGCACTGCCTTGTACGGCATACACAGGGAAAGAACAAATATACTGAACGCATAACCCCTGTCATACAATCAGACCGTTATTTCCTTGTGATGAGTAAATGTTCTCGTTTTGTAATGAAATGCAAATTTAATGTCCCTCTTTGTGGGTAGAGAAAAAGCTTTTGGCCTTGCCCTTTGTTTTAGTGAGACATCAGAACTGCTGTGAGTGGGTAGGACAAACCGGAGCTTCATGATCTGCTTCCTTTGTGGTTCCCAGAGAAGTGAGACATGCACTTTCCCCACCTGTTTTCACTGACAAATGGCAGAAGTCAAGTTCAGACCAGGTACGATATGCTATATGTACAAGAAAAGTTCAGAGCGGCTCTTCAGTGCCTGTTCTGTGTACTCCAAGATTTTACTTACAGCCTGTGACTTGTCCTCTATGAAGTCAGCTGTTTGCTGCTCCTGTTGTAGTTGCTGCTCTACTGTCCACAGCCCATTTAACTTGGAAAAAGGGTTACAGGCCTCATACTCTTAAGTGAAAAGTCATGGCAGACAGCAGTGTGGCTCTTTATTTCAAGCCCCAAATGCTCACCCTGTCTTACCCTACTATAATTCTGCAGACATCAAGGAAAGCAATCTGCAAGAAAGCAGATTGTTATTGAAGAATGTGGTTTTTCAACTCAGGCAATGAGTATTCTGGACATCTTTAGTAACTAAGAGCTGTAGTGAAAGGTTGTGTGGTAACACCATCTGCATGGGTTTTCACTATGTCTGCAACGATTCATTTATATGAAGATTTAGGGTTTTTTTTTTCACATTTCCTTCTCATTTATATCAGTGGAATGTAGGTTTCTAGGTGACTGAGAATCTAGGTATGAGTTTCTGCACCTGGATTTTGTGATTAATATAATGGGTGTAGGTATAATTTCCCATTTTAGAGACATTGCACAGATATGGAAAGAGCAGGACATAAGTGTGGGAAAAGCAGCTGTGAGGTGCTCAGAGATGCCATAAGATGTCCAGGCTCTCAAAGTCTTTTTTACACTGGCAAGTATCAGGAAACAATATCTTTAGTACTTAACCTTGTCACTACATTTCAGCTACAGCCAAATAAAAATTTGTGAGCCACACACCTAAGCGGGACACTGCTGTCTTCTTCAGTTTATGCCATCACCTGTACAAAGAATCCCTCATACAGAAGACAGCTCATGTCTCAGTCTCCTACTCTTCAGAAAGTACAACAGCACTAGCACCTCTGCGTTTCCACTACCACCACTTTGTCTGCAGTCCCTGTTATCTGCAATGTACATGCTATGGTACTAATTGTAGGAGACCAAATAATCCCATTTAGAACAATCTCCTACAAGGGTCAGTAAGACAGTTCTAGATAGTTTAAGAAAATTTGTCATGCAATTTAACCCCAAAATTGAGATTTGCAAACCTAGCAAATATTGTAAAATATAATTTCAATTAAATGTTACAGTGTGTACTCAGAAAGCAAACTGGTTTTAATATCTGTATTTCCATACTGCAGAAACAGTGTCCACTCACACTGCAAACACAGCAGTTTTACACTAGCACATAGGAACAAAGAAGACCAGTTATTATTTTCAGTAATGCAGAAGGTTAGAGAAGGCCAGGAGGGAAATGTTTTCTAAATATTTAGTTACTAAGCAAAGTCTGTTAGAATCCAGGAGGAGCATTATCCTTGAGCTGCTGTTTGTTAAAGCTGCAGCAAAAGGAACCAAGAGGACTTCACCCTACAGTTTTAGAAAGTGCTGTTTCTTCCAGTGACAGAGTCTGAGGCTATGTGAGCAATTCTTGACCCCTCAGGAACAAACAGGCAACCCGAAAGAAAACAATTGCAATTACCACAAAAAGGCAGTGCTCCAAAACCATGTGGAAGACTGTCTTATGATTGTGAAGGCCTGAGAATGCACCTGTCCCTGGACCAGACAGAGAACAAGAGTCTGGATTTAGGAGTCCCCAGAGGTCCCTCTCATAGTATAGGGTAAAAGGGCTGGGTGGCTGTTAGCAGCCGGTGCTGCAGAGCTGCTGAGCACGAGTCAGCTTCTTCCAGCTGAGCAGTTCATGTGTACAGCTTGCCCACCCTTTTTCTCT